GATCCCAGAAAGAACTGGGGAATCCCAAGGGCTGAAAGAGCCACAATATGAATTTACTGGGCTCTTAAGGATGTTTGGCATCTGGGGTCTAAGGGTTGGGGTTGTCTTGGACAGCAACAGAAATCAAAATCCTCAGATTCCATTAGGAGACCTGAGGTAGAAGTTGTTCATGATAAAGCAGAGAGGGAGAAGTCAGACTGGTGTTTCCAGCTATATAAAGGTGATCTTGTAACCATATCATATGCTTGCACTGGACAATCTATATGTTCTTTGAACTGCTAAGGCTTTACACTACAATGAAATTGCCCTTACCTTTCATTAAGTTGGTAGAGACAGAGGGAAGGGTGTACTGTTGTGGGTTATGAGTCCAGGCTGGCCTGGGCTGGAAGTCCAACACCGCAGCTGCTGTCACAGTCACAAACATGACCTAACCTTTCCATTTCCTCTTTCAGAAGATGGGGTTGCTAACACCTTCCTCACAAAGCTGTTGTGAGGATTACATGAGACAAATGGATTTAGCCATGAAGCACTTAGCCCAGAGCCTGGCTCCCAGGAAGTGCTCACCTAACGCAGGTCTAGTCTGCGGAGGAGAGAAATCTTTCACAGCCTCCAGCAGACTGTCCATCCCCAAGATGCTGAGCAAATGAGAACACACAGTGAGATCTACGGCCATACCACCCTGAACGTGCCTGACCTCGTCTGATCTCGGAAGCTAAGCAGGGTCAGGCCTGGTTAGTACTTAGATGGGAGAACATGCAGTGAGAAATAGTTTCCTTGCCACCTACCTTCACAGCAAGGTGAATGAAGGAGCCCAGAGCAGATTGAGGGTGGCAAATACCTTATCATCCTGTGGCTCCTTAGTCACACACACACACACACACACACACACACACACCCCATAAACACAGACCCACAAATTACAGCCTGTCAAGACAGTCTCAGAAGCAAAAGGAGATGAGAAGAATTTACCTTTGCTGACAAATTTACGGCATTCTGATGTTCGTGAAAGCCGTGCAGTATCATGTGTATTATTACGTGGAAAATAAGAACAAAGATTCTCACAGAGGCAGAGAAAGCTCTGCTGTGCTGTTCCCACTGTCGAGTAGGCCACCAGTCACAAATTACATTCAAGTAAAATATAAACAAATGCTTTAACAAACATGTAAGTAAAATTAAAATGTTTTTAAACATTTAAACACCAAGTGGGATACAGAGGGCATCTGATAAGGGGACAGCCCAGCACAGGGTCTCGGAGTCCAGGCATCAGCAGGGGGAGGGGTGGGCCTGAGAAGGGAGAATGGCTACCTACTGGTGGATTACCCAAATAAGTGGATGTATTAAGAAGGATGCCAGGTTCCTCATTGCCAGAAAAAGAGAGCTACAAATGAGGAAGGAGACAATTAGAATGAACCTGTGGTGCTGAATTTGGGGGTATCAGTCAGTGTGTGTGTGTGTGTGTGTGTGTGTGTGTGTGTGTGTGTGTAAAGAGAGAGAAATATAGATACAAATGTTTATGTGTGAATAAGAATACATATATATATGCCCTAGCTCTGTCCACATCTGGGATCAGTGACACCCCAAAAGCAATTTTAAATACCAGATGTTCACTTTTAAATACCATTTCCTACTAAAAGAACCAAGGGCTTCTTAGAGAAATTACTGGTTCCAGGGCTGGAACAGAAAATATACAAGGTGAACTTGGAGCATCTTGTTCTGCTAGAAAGCAGGAAAATGCTCAAACAATAATAAGGATCTGTCAAAGGACAACAGCCTAAAGACCAAATCCTGGACAACTGGAGCATCAAAATAAATGTCAATGCCTGTAGTTGAACCATTTGGGCTCATCACCCCTTATAATGAGGAAGAAGGCACACCACAGAGACCATGGTGGAAGGAGGTCTCAGTAAGAAGGTGTCAGAAAGAAACCTATTATAAGATTAGGCTTTGGTTGGGGAGGGTTTTGGAACATGGGTTCACTGTGGTATACACTGTCGGAAAGCAGGGATGATGCTGTGACTGGACACCTCAATAAATCTTCTCTACAGAAGAACAACCTAGGGCAGATAATGCTGGAATGGTCAAGAAGCGGTGGTTCCTCTTATTAGTCAGGAGAGAGGGATGGGATTGTGTGGATTGCATCTTGGTTTTGTTCATTCCTAGACAAATTTATGAAGTGGCCCTGTTTTGTCTTAAGTTACCATGGTCTCAGAGTGACGCTCTCCAACATTGATGTTGTGTGAGATGATTTATGTCCAACAAACATCTAGAAGCACGAGGCCAGCTTCCAACAACACTGAGTCTGGTTGCAAGTGTCAGACCAGTTCCCAGATTTCAGGGACTACCTTTTTCTTTCTCAGCACTAATGGGTTTATTTATTTTACTGATGGAGTGAAATAAGAATCTAGGATTCCAAACAGACATAAAGTAATTATTTAATTAACTAAATTGGAAGAATGGTAAGAAATGGGACTTAAAAATAATTAATAGACTTTATTGTTAGAGCAATTTGAGGTTTACAGGAAAATTAAGGAGGAAGTACATATTCCTGTATTCCCTCCCTCACCCCTGACTGTTTCACCTTTCCCCTATTTCCTATCTTGCACATTTGTTACAGTTGATGAGGCAATATTGACACACTATTTTGAACTAAAGTCCAGAGTTTACATGAGGACTCTGTGTCATACATTTCATGGGTTTTGACAAATGTATAATGACACATCCACCATTATAATATAATACAGAATAATTTCAATGCCCTAAAAATTTCCTGTGCTCTCCTGGCCTCAAGGGATCCTTCCACTTCAGCCTCCTGAGTAGCTAAGGCTATAAGCATGTGAGCACACCAGGCTATTTTTTTTTTAATTATATTATTTTTTTATCTTTTGTAGAGATGGGGACTTGCCATGTTGCTCAGGCTGGTCTCTAATTCATGGCCTCAAGCAATCCTCCCTCCTTAGCCTCCTAATGTGCTGGGATTACAGGAGTAAGCCACCATCCCCGGCCACCACTAAGTTTCTAGCTTTCTTTGTAGTTTTGCCTTTTCAAGAATGTCACATGGCAGGAATTATACACTATGTGGCCTTTTCAGATTGGCTTCATTCACTTAGTAATATTCATTTAAGTCTCCTCAACGTCTTCTTGAGCCTTGCTAATTTATTTATTTTTATTACTGAATAACGTTCCATTGTCTGGATATACCGGTTTGTTTATCCACTCACTTATTAAAGGACATTTTTGTTACTTCCAGTTTTTGGCAATTACAAATAAAGCTGCTGTAAACACTTGTATGCAGGCTTTTGTCTGGGCACAAGTTTTCAACTCATTTAGATAAATACCTAAGAGTGCAATTGCTGAATCATATGATAAGCCTAAGTTTAGTTAGCTTTGTAAGTAACTGCCAGACTGTCGTCTAAAGTGGCTGTATCATTTTTTATTTCCAGCAGCAATGAATGAGGCTAAACTAAAAGACAACTAAACATAATGTGGGATCCTGGAACAGACAGATACAGTTAGTAAAAACTAAGGAAATCTGAATGAAGCATGGACTTTAATCATAAGGAATCACTATAGATCCATTAGTTGTAACAATTGGGTCATAGCTGTATAAGATAGTAACAAAGAGGGGAAATTGGATGTGGAGTCTACCAAATTCTCTGTACTATCTTTTCAAATTTTTATAAACATAAAAATCTGACAAAATAAAAAGTTTATGTAAATATTAAGGGAGATGACAGAATGTCACAATTTTGCAACCACCAAATGAATTTGGATAGCCATAAAGCATCGACAACTTTTATAACTGCACAAAGAGACAAGTAGATAAGATATACCTCCTATAGTCTTGTCAACAGAATTAAACTTGAGTCTGGTCCAGTCTCCAGTTCCAGCTGTCAAATTACAGGCAGTAGAGAAGACAAGAGCATATTCATCTGCATCATAAATGTTTAACCAACAGAAGCCAATACCACCTATCAATAGTGAAAGAAAACTCAAAAATAAAAAACTAGCAAAGAGAATGGACCAATACACTAAAAAATTCCCAGCACTTTGGGAGGCCAAGATGGAGGATTGCTTGAGCTCAGGAGTCTGAGATCAGCCTGGGCAACAGAGTGAGACCTTGTCTCTACAAAAAATTTTAAAAATTAGCCAGGCATGGTGGCACATGCCTGTAGTTTCAGCTACTCAGGAGGCTGAGGTGAGAGGATTGCTTGAGCCCTAGAGGTTGAGGCTGCAGTGAGCTATGAACACACCACTGCACTCCACACTGGCTAACAGAGCAAGATTCTATCTCAAATAATGCTACTAATAATAATCCCCCACCATATATGTTTACAATAGAAAGAAGAGGTTAAAAATCATAAAGAAAAAGGCAAAATTAGGGAGAGAGATCCAAGATGGCCGATTACTAGCAGCTCTGGATTGTAGCTCCCAGAGAAAGCACACAGAAAGAGAGGACGCCACACTTTTCAGATGAATTTTTGTTGCCCATGGACTAGGAGATTCCCAGCGGAGGTGCCCCACGGGTCGCCAGCGTGACTCTTGTGGCCAGTGTGGCGGTTTTGCCGGCGCTTAGGCGCGGCAGAGTAAATGGGACTAGGTCCTCTTTTGATCGACGTTTGGAGCTCCGGGAAGGCCAGAGTCACCCATTTACCTAATTGAAAAATGGATTCAAGAGGGAAGCCAGACCGGAGATTCCCAAGCAGAAAAGCACCACAAATCTTAATGCTGATGTTTTAGCCAGCGCAGTGGGTTGCTCAGATTTTGGCGCTGGGAATCAACAAGTTAGATGTCCACTCAGAGACCTAATTTGAAAGTTGGCAATCACAAAGACGACAGGTGGATAAACTCACAATGATGGGAAGAAACCAGCGTAAAAATGTTGAGAATACCCAGAGTCATAATGCCTCTCCCTCTACAGGGGATCACAGTTCCTCATCATCAAGGGAACAAGTCCTGATGGAGAACGAGTTCATTCCATTAACAGATTTAGGCTTCAGAAGGTGGAAAATAAGGAACTTTTGTGAGCTAAAACAACATGTTCTAACACAATGTAAAGAAACTAAGAACTTTGAAAAAAGGTTTGATGAAATGCTAATGAGAATAGACAATTTAGAAACTAAAATAAGTGAATTAATGGAACTGAAGAATACAATACGAGAACTTCGCGAAGTATGCACAGGTTTTAACAGTCGAATTAATCAAGCAGAAGAAAGGACATCAGAAGTCGAAGACCTACTTAATGAAATGAAATGAGAAGACAAGATTTGAGAAGAAAGAGTAAAAAGGAATGAGCAAAGTCTCCAAGAAATATGGGACTATGTGAAAAGACCTAATTTACAACTGATAGGTGTACCTGAATGTGACGAAGAGAATGAATCCAAGTTGGAAAATATTCTTCAGGATATTATTCAGGAAAACTTTCCTAACTTAGTAAGGCAGGAAAATACTCAACTCCAGGTAATCCAGAGAACACCACAAAGATATTCCTCAAGTAGAGCAAATCCAAGACACATAATCGCTAGATTCACTAGGGTTGAAATAAAGGAGAAAATTCTGAGGGCAGCTAGAGAGAAATGTCAGGTTACCCACAAACGGAAGCCTATCAGACTCACAGCAGATCTCTCAGCCGAAACCCTACAATCTAGAAGAGAGTGGGGGTCAATATTCAATATCCTCAACGAAAAGAATTTTCAACCCAGACTCTCATATCCAGCCAAACTAAGCTTCATAAATGAAGGAAAAATAAAATTTTTCATGAACAAATAAGCACTCAGAGATTTCATCACCATCAGGCCTGCTTTACAAGACTTCTGAAAGAAGCACTACAAACAGAAAGGAACAACCAGTATCAGTCATCCCAAAAACTTACCAAAACGTAAAGAGTATCTCCATAATGAAGAATTTACATCAACTAATGGGCAAAATAGCCAGCTAGCATTAAATTACAATATTGAACCCACAAATATTAATATTAATCCTAAATTTAAATGGATTCAATGCCCCAATAAAAGACACAGACAGGGAAATGGAATAAAAAGTTAAAATCTATTGGTACATTGTATCCAGATCTAACTCACAACGACACACAAAGGCTCAAAATAAAGGGATGGAGGAAGATTTAGCAATTAAATGGAGAGCAAAAAAACCAAAAAACAAAAAAATAGGAGTTGTAACTTTTGTCTCCAACAAAATAGACTTTAATAGTAACAAAGACCAAAAGAAACAAAGAAGGACTTATAATGGTAAAAGGATCATGCAACAACAGGAGTTAATTAACATAAATATATACGTACCCAATATAGGAGTACCCAGATACATACGACAAGTTCTTATTGACTTATAAAGAGATTTGGACTCCCGCACAATAATAGCAGGAGATTTTGACATCGCATTGTTAATATTCAATGGATCAATCAGATAGAAAATTAATAGGGACATCTATGATTTGAATTTAGACCTGGAATAAGTAAACTCAGGGTATAGTGATAGAATTCTCCACCCCAGGTCTACAGAACGTACATTTTTCTCAGTATCATATTACACCTATTCTGAAAGTGACTACGTAATTGGAAGTAAATTACTCTTCAGTATTTGCATAGCATCTCACAGACTTAAATGAAATATTAGTTGGCTGTTTGTTTCTTATTTTCTGCCCTTATTCCTTCCTGTCTCTTCCCTTATTCCTTCCTTAATTGTTGTTAAGTACAATTATTGGCATAAAAGAGGTTTTTAATACCTTTTTAAGATTGCATTCCAGCCTGGGCAATAGAGCAAGAATCCTGTTCTCTCTCCCCCTTTTTCTTTCTCCTTCTTTCTTTCTTTCAAAAAAAAAAAAAAAAGAAGAAGAAGAAGAAGAAGAAGAAAGAAAGAAAGAAAGAAAGAAAAGAAAAAGGCAAAATTAATTTTATTTGGAGATTGTATAGACATATACATGGAAAAACCAAGATAATCAAACAAAAGTTATTCGACATAAGAGAGTTTAGCAAAGCAGTTTTAAAAATTAATAAACAAGATTGTTGCGGATCTTTGAGATGTCGCTTTTCTGTCCAGAAACCTCTGTGGCCAGTGGCACCTTTGCCAGAGTTCATGTCCTGCCTCCAGGAACATAGACAGGTGGAAGGTGAACAAGATGAAGAGGATCTTTATTGAGTGTTACAGCTCTGAGGAGACCTGCAGTGGGTAGCTCCTCTCTGTAAGCAGGTCTTCCCTGTGGAGTGTTCAGCCCTCAGCAGAGAGGAGGCCCTCAAGAGGGTGGCTCCTCTCTGCCCACAGGTTGTCCTGTCATCTCTGCAGCTCTCAGCAGAGAGGGTAGCTCCTCTCTGCAGCTGGTTGTCCCCTCTAGCCGTCCTCTGCCCTGCTCTGGCTGAGTCCCTGGCTTTTATGGACCTCAGAAGGGAGGAAGTGCCTACAGATTGGTCCAGGGCACAGAAAAGGCACCACAAGTTCCCATTCCAGTCCACAGGACTGGAAGCCTGGCCCCCAGCCTTCAGGCCCTCCCTGCCTAAAGGTGGGGCCTTACCAGGGACCTGCCCCCTTCTGCCCAGTAACCTTTCTGCCTCCCATGGCTGTTCAAGGCTCCCAGGCTGCTGGCACAAAGGAGCACCTGCAGGCCAGCACCCAGCCACCTTCAGCTCCGTGCCCAGCCACCCATAGCCCCAGCTGCCCTCAGCTTCCCTTAAAATTCTGGAGGGGATCGAGATGGCAGGGTGCTGGTGTGTCAATGCTGCCCTGAGCCTTTGCACACCAGGCTGGGCTATGGCAGTCTGCCATCACAAGCCAGGTTCCAATCTCCACCTGGCTCCAAGATTGGAGTGGGTGCCAGGCAGTGGGAGCAGACACCCCCAAGGGGACAGAGGTGGGGTCAGGGGGGCATCTTCCCAGCCCGAAGGTGGAGGCTGCAGAGATACCCTGGTCTTGCGCCTGGAAGGGAGGCTGCAGCTGCACCTGGGCAGCTCCCCAACGCCAACTTAGAATGGGTGGGGTTCCCACTTGTCCTGGCTCCTGCCCACTCCTGGTGCAGGAGGCCCAGGTCTGCAGCCACAGATTTAACGGCTGCAGTTGCACCTGGGAGGGCAGGGATGCTGCCTGCTTCCATCCTGCTTTGGTGAAATAGGAGGCCCTGATCTACAGCTGGGGTTTGGAGAGCTGCAGCAACACCCCGGGAGCTCCTGCCCCAACTCGGAAGGCGCAGAGCTCCCACCGGCTCCACGCAGTGTGCAGCCCCAGCTGGCCGCCCTGCTGCAGTCTGTGTGATGGCAGTGGCAGACTGTGTGGAGCAGCCGCTACCATCAGAATCAATAGCTTTCCTACATGCAATAATAACTAGCCAGCAAACATAACAAAATGCAAGATTCCACTTCAAGATGACACAAAAACAAAGTAAAAATGGCTAAGAATAAGATAATTTAAGTATGAAGAAAAATGTTAAATTCTTGGCAAACTGAAGAGACAAATGGATAAATGGAAACATACCCTGTTTGAGATAGGAATGTCTACCATAAAAAAGTATCAATACTTCCTAATTTTATCTGCAAATTTAATGTGACCCGAATAAAAATAGCATCAGTTCAACATCCAAATAATAGGAATTTCAGAAGGAAAGAACAAAGAAAATGGTAGGGGAAAATATCAAAGAAATATACAATTTATTGAGCAAAAACATTCAAGATTGAAAGGGACTTGTGAATTCTCAGGACTATAAAAGAAGAAAGGGTAAAAAAGACCCACAGCAAAGGGTCTGCCTAAGAAACTATAGAACTAAAGTAACGAAAAGGAAGCTCTTAAAAACTTATAGGAAGGAAGAAAAACAGGTTACATAAAGCTGGGGATAAGAGCTCAGAAAAACACTGGACCGCTCAGAAACAAACCCTGTGAGTTAGAAGATGGAGAAAAACCTTTAAAATTCTGAGGAAGAATAATTTCTTATAGTTTACATCTGGCTGAGGTATCACTGAAGTATGGGAGTAGAATAGTGACTTGCTAGTTTTGTTGTCAACAACAACAACAAAAAACAGCCTGGCCAACATGGTGAAACCCCGTCTCTACTAAAAACACAAAAATTAGCCAGGCATGGTGGTGGCCATAATCCAGCAGTCATGAGGAAGAAGTGTTTGGACATGCCCCTCCATTTCCATGCACCCTGGCAGAACCCAGAACCCCAGCCACCTTTCCGCGGTTTTTTTTTTTTTTTTTTGCCTTTGAAATGCATCTTTATCTTGTCCTTTTCCAAAGTAAGTCAGCGTGTGGTTTGGAACGCACATAACACGCGGGCGCGGTGGCTGGTGTCTGATTCTGCCAAGGTGCATGGAAATGGAGGGGCATGTCCAAACACTTCTTCCTCATGGCTGCTGGATCGTGGCTGCTGTAATCCCAGCTACTTGGGTGGCTGAGGCAGGAGTACTGCTTGAATCCAGGAAGTGGAGGTTGCAGTGAGCCAAGATCACGCCACTGCACTCCAGCCTGGGCAACAGAGTGAGACCCTGTCTCAAAACAAAGAAACTTATTTTGTTGAAAAGTTCAAACATTTCAAAGTAGAGGCAATCATATAATTAATTCCCATGCATCTAACATGCAGGTTCGGCAATGATCAGATCATGGCTAATCTTACTGTATCTACATCCTAATTTTTTCCCCTCGTGTCCTGCCAGTGTGTCTCTCTAAAAGATAAGAGTTTCCAAATATAGGAATAATATCATTATTACACCTAAAATAAAACTGAACTATAGCTTCAGATATTTAGTGTTCAAATTTCTAATCATCTCATGCCTATCACACTTAAAAAATATCATTTGTTTGAATCAACACATCATAAGTAGCTTGCTTTCAAAATCTTTTAAGCTATAGTTTCCTCCTCTATTTTCCTTGAAAACTATTTTTTGCAAATGCTTTTCCTCCCCCTTGATATTTAAGTGTTGAAGAAACCACATTCTGCGACGTGTCACATTCTCCAGGTTTTAGGCTATTTTGCCAACTGTGTTTCCATGGTGTCAGTGTTCTCCTCTGTCTTCTCCATTTTTTGTGAATTAATATTTGAACCTAGAGGAGAACAAGGCACCCTGTTCCCTAGCACTCTTTCTCAGGAAGCCAAGGGGGATG